GCCCCCAAAGGACTGAGGACAAAGGACTGAGGATTGAACCTGCAACCCTTGGGTGCACAGCCATCACTGAGCCACAGTGGCCAGGGCTCAGGTTTCTTCTTGAACAGGAAGAAAATTATAGTGTCCCTTTCCTGAAAGGAATTGTAAGGTATGTAAAATAAATACAACCCTTTAAATTTTGTTATTATTACACTATATGAACAATTTGTGATTTGCAATGTTTTGTACAATTGCAGAATCACAGGGATTTCTATTTGAAAACAAAGCAAACCCCCCAAAATGAATGAATAATTGTATCCACAAGGTTGAATAATCTACATGTGTACTAAAAATGGCACAAAAACACAGAAAGTTCTTGTTTTTCTTCCTACTTTTATAAGATTTTTGTTTTCTGCAAAGCATATTTTTGCAAACAGATTGCTCTCTTATTTCCACCCTATCTTCATACTGCTGTCATAATATTTATAGAGTTGTTGCAATAGAATAAAATGTCATTAGTAAAAGAGTTAATCATTTTAATTAGAAATAGTTTATTAGTTAGCAACTGAGAAAGCAGAGAAGAACAAAAATAAAAATTCCTCATAAAACCCTCCCAATTTCATCAATTGGTCAATTTCCAAAGAAGATTTTGAGAAAAAAAAGGGTAAAACTTTCTAAATGAGTCTTTTAAATTGCCCTTTAAAGTATATTTGCATTGTGTGCCCACCACCCATAGCAATATACTAGTACAGATGATGTATCATAGAAATGTACACTTGTAACCGATATAATATTATTAATCATTGTCACCCCAATAAATTTAATTTAAAAAAATTTAAAGAAAATTTAAAAAAGTATTTTAGCCTTAGACGGTTTGGCTCAGTGGATGGAGCATCAGCTCGTGGACTGCAGTTCCCGGGCTCAATTCCAGTCAAGGGCACATACCTCAGTTGCAGGCTCAATCCCCCGCCCAGGTCAGGGTATGTGTGGCAGGCAACCAACCAATTGATGTGTCTCTCTCACATTTATGTTTCTCTCTCTGTGTCTTTCCCCCTCCCTTCCGCTCTCTCTAAAAATCTATGGGAAAATATCCTCGGGTGAGGATTAACAAAAACAGTATTTTTAAAGAAAGTATTGTAACAGCAAGACATGATCACACAATTTAGGATGAAATGGTTTATCATTCTAGATTAAATCCACAAAAATTCCCAGGACTGTTATGCTAAAGCTCTCAGACAACAGAGACTCTACAAAAGATTTACAACCTGCATTTTGGAAAAGAGTTGAAATTCTCATGCGTTTTCTTTCCTGCCAATATAGCACTTTTCTCTTTTCTTATTCTTAGAGATAAAATAACTTGTGTTATATAGCATGAGTAATAGGTGATTTAGGACTAATATCTTGAGTACCAGCAGAAAAGTTTTTTTGAGATGGGTCATTTTCTGACCTTTATTGGTAGATGCCAACAGAAAATTGTAGGAGAGAGATTGTCATTCTCAGGAGTAAGCGAGCACACCACAGGGGGAAGGCCAGTGTGTGCTTCCCTTTTAATTTGGGTGTGTATGGAATTGTGACCTCCATGAGACTATGAAGCCTAGAAGCACATGTGCTTTTAGAGGTACAGGTTACAGGTAGGAATAGCGATGAAAATGAGGATAAAAATGGGGATGGAGAGATGGAGATAGAGACAGAAGGTTGAGTAGTCTTGTGATGGAGGAGGAGAGAGCCTGGGAGAGTTAGAGATGGACAGGCATGGGACAGAGATGGGCGGGAGAATGAGAAAGAAATGGGGCTGTAAATAGAAACTCGGGGGTGAAGGTGGGCAAAAGCTGGGGAAGAGAGGGAGGGATAATAGGGGGTCATGTGATCATCTGCTGGCACAGATGAAGACACAAAGCTTAACTCTATAGCTGTCCTAAAACTGTCAACAGCCAAGGAAGGGTAATGGGGTCAAATTTGATCTTCACAATGTTTTTGCAATATAAGTGCATCAGGAAAGGAAAGTGTTTTCCAATGAATTTGTGGGTTTGGCTATGTTTGACACGATACCACAGCATCAGTATAAACAAGTTCAGGATAACAAGTATAAGTATCCTTGTTCTGTTTCCCTTCTCAGTTTTCCAGGTAATTCAGGAAAGAAAAAGTCACTGGAGCAGAGGAGAGGATAAAAAAAAAAAAAAAAAGAGCAAAAACAATCACATTAGGGTTATAATGGAGCAGTTGTGGAGGTTTTCATAATTTTCTTGGTCTTTCAAAATAATACAATAGATGCAAAAATGTGCAAAGTAGGAAAAACCATGTGGACTTTAGATTCATGTCTGGATTAAAATCTCAGCAGCACCAATTTATGGAGATGAAGGCTGTAAAGTAGCCTGTGTGAAGTACTTAGCACAGTGTCAGAAATACATTTACTATTATAAAAAAAAATCAAGAGAAGATATAGACTCTTTGCTGTTGTTTTATCAAATATCTCTGTATGGTACTCAGCACTGTGCTTAGAGCTATTGGGACTTATAAAGAAATTCCAAAAATTAGCACATGCCTTAGTGATTCACAGTGTTACTGGGAGGCTGAGATAGGGAACAGTACCAGATAATCTAAGGCATGCTGAACCTCACCTACGCTGCAGGTTCTGGACTAGGGCAGAGATTTCAGATCCTTCCGCACCAGAGGCAGGAAACCCAGGGAAAGGGGGGGATGGCCCTGGGAGAAGGTCCAGGGAAACTGCTAACATCCTCCGAGCATTTGCTAGGGAACAGGCGCGCTGTCTGGCATGTGGTCAGAGATGCTTCACAAATGAAAGAGGTTTGAACTCCACAGTAAATGGAGGGCTTAGATATTTAGGTGGGAAATGGTAGGGGCGAGGTCACAGAGCAGGGCTGGAAGAGACCAGAAAAAACAACACACATCGGTAAAGCCTATTGCAATAGCCAGTTACCACATCACTATGTAAAGCAACTTGAAGCAGTGATAAGACAGCAATTACAAAACAGACTTGAAAATAAAGTCTTGGAAGTTAATTGCTCCACAAAGGCCCTTCACATACTGTATGGCATGGCATCTATTCAGACTTCCCCTTCTTTTTAAGGATTTGGTGCATAATAGATGAGTGTGTCCCAAGAATTTTACTTTGAAAACTTTCACAAAGGTATTCAACCTTACTTAAACAAAATTAAAAATTAATTATAAATATATTCGCCAATCAGATTAGAAAACACTGTAGCTTTAAAGTCCGTTACTAGTGTAAGGAAATGAGCATTCACATAAGCTCTTGGTATATATTAAAATTATAAGTGCATATGCCTATTGACTATCCACCCACTTCTAGAAATTTATCCTAAGAAAAAATCACACAAGTGATCAAAGATGTAGGCTCAAGGACTTTCAGTGTAGGGTTCTGTATAATACCAACTAGAAGCCACGTAAATGACCATCAATAGGCTACTTCTTTATGATTTATAACTTATATTTATAATAAAATTATTCATCCATTAATATGACTATGTAGCTCTGTGACTATTGACATGGAAAGATGTGCCCCATGAAACAGAGGCATACAGACCACGATCCTATAAAACCACTTTTGTGAAATCGTGTGTCCCTGTGTAGAAAAGTGGCGATTAATATGTTAGGGATGGTTCTATCAGGATTGTAAGATTTGAGGTAATTTTTCCTTTCTTTACACTTGTAAGAGGTGTATTGTTAATATTATTTACAATTAGCATGTAATCTTCTAACAATATGAAAAAACAATAACTCTATTTTCATTTAAGAAAGAAATAACCTTCCCAATGGATGTTAATTCTGTGGTGTAAGTGATTGCTGCCGGCACCGGCCAGGACCTGAGAAATGAGAGGCATTTGCTGCGTTCCTAGGGTAGAAGCTGGGTGCACCCCTTGACCAGAGAATTCCCTCTCACCACATGGCTTTTGGAAAGGGATTGTAGGAGAGATCATCCAGTTCATCCTGTGTTTAGACACATTGTTCTTGTCTTCAATCTTGGCTGGACTGCGAGCTTTTCAAGGCCTGGGAAAGTGTCTTACTAATTTTTTTCTGTCACCAAAGCCTCTTAGAGACACCACAGTAAGCAGTTAATTTGTACAGTTGGGCTGAAATACATTGCCGTGTTTTGTTTGCTTCTGAACCATAAAAGAGACTTTGGGGAAATCTCTTATCAAAAACTGCTCCTAGGGTTCTGCCTTGAACACTGTAGGCACAGCTCTCAGCCAAAGGATCCTGTCACTCAAGTCAGACAATTGTCCCATTGTCTGTATTTATTTTCACAAATGCAATGATTTTTTTGTTTGCATATTTTTCATCAGCAAGATAAGAGATTAATCTATAATAATAAAAGCATAATATGCTAATCAGACCAGACGGCCAAACGACCTTCCGGATGAAGCTGGGGCTGTGAGAGCTGAGCCCCTTGCACGATTTTCGTGCGTTGGGCCTCTAATTTTATTACAACATAGCTGTATTGGAGTTTGTCTTATATCAATATTTATGTTCAGTCATTACACTGTACAAATACAGTCACTGATACAACCTAATGTCAGTGTCAATAATCTCAGAATGATTAGTGCTTTTAGTGTCCTGTCACCACAGTTACTTCCTATCAAAGCACTAGAGACACTATTATGACCTCCTCAGATAGAATTCTTTGCTTAGGACAGACCACTCCTTGCTGCTTTCTGTTCCAAATTGAAACAAACAGAAAAGAAAATCCAGCACCAATTCTTTTCATATGGCACACATCCTAGCTGTCCTAGGAATAACTGGATGAATATTTCAAGATTCCTTGAATTGACAGGGGTAGCTGCTCTTGGCTCTAGGCATCCTTTCATTTCTCCCAGAGCAACGTGAGCAAATGCTATACGTAGGCAACAGTTAAACTGATGGGGTTGACAATATCACTGATTAGTAATTGGGACCACAGCAAAAGCAGCATGACTTTATACTGTACATTTAATGATTTATTGGCTCAAACTAGGTAAACACAGAACTCTGGTAGTTTCCTTTACCTTGGCCAGATGAGAGTTGATCCATTTTGTGAAAGTTCGTTTTTGTACTATCTCTTGCTCATCTAGAAGAAAAAAAAAACTTAATTAGATAACACAGTATGACATGAAGTTATATCATGAAAAAAAACTCATAGTTACACAACTCTGGAAGTAATCATAATATTATTTTATATTTTAATTCATTTTACCAATTATTGATTAAAAGAGTAGTCACTATAATTTCAAGTATATTAATCAATTAGGCTATTCCTTTAAGGATTATCAGCAAGTGCTTTAAATTTTATAATATGTTAGTCCTATGTTTACCTTCATTCACTTATTCAAAGTTCACTGAACAATTATACCTCAAGAAAGCTGTTTGTAAAAAGTTCACTGAGACCAACAACAGTGTCTAAAAAATATACATTATGAATAATAACACTACTTTATAATGCTGTTGATGAGGAACTGACATAACTATCATGACATCAGTTTTAAAGTTCTCCTTGTGTATTTAAAGAAACATTATTTAAACGTATTTAATACTAATCCTAAGAATTTTTCTAATTTCAGCTTTTTAGAAAAACATTATGTGGTCTTACCAACTGCATGCTTAATATTTCTACTAAAATTATAAAAACTGTAATTCATGTAGACATTTTTCTGAACGTATATGTTAGTTCTAAGTACAGTAAAGTTTGATTATATCCTACAAGTAAACTCAGTTCTTTAGTGCTAAGAATCACAGCACTAATTTTATTAATGGAACCTAAGATTCACCTAATTCTTAGGCCAGTCACCTTGGCTGGCCTAAGAATTCTTGGGTCTCTACTCTCATCCCCACAACCAGTGATAAGGAATTGCTGTTGATTTTACTCCTGAATATATCATCTCCACCAATATCAGCTTAGTTAAGACACCATCATCAAATCTGGATGCCTATTCATTTCCACTATTAGAATCTATGTTAAAGCATAGATGGCAGGGACCATGCCTGACTTATCCATTGCTGTCTTATTTACTACTGCAGAGTAGATGCTTCATAGAAATGAATGGAGGAATCTGCTAAGGATTTGCTGGAGACTAAAAAACAGGCCTTGCCCTAAGGAACTGGTCATACAATGGAAGAGACAGTTATGTAAACTAAAGCTCAAAGCAATGTGCCAGCTATTGCAATGGAGGAACATAGAAAGTGCTAAGGGGATATAAATACAGAAACAAGTAATTCTCCTGTAAGGTAAGAGAAAAGGCTAGAAGGCCCAGAGAAGCTAAAAGAGAGGTGCCATTTTATTGAATATCAGCAGAGAAGTGGAAATTTTCTGGTAGAGAACTTTAAAAAAGTTCTGTAGTAAAAAAGAGGCAGTCTTTTAAAAGCACGATGGGTTTTGATTGGATTATAAGTGAAGAAGGTTTAAGAAGGGATTGAAGGTGAGCCTAGAAAACAGCCAAGAGCCAGGTTAGTAAAACCTTTGACTAACATGCCAAGGAGTTAGGTCTCTATCGTAGAGTCAATGGGGAAATCATCAGTGGTTTTAGACAAAGACATGGTCATTTCATGCCTGAGATACACAGATACATATTCTGATGGTAGTGTAGAGGTTTAGTTGAAGGGAGAGGGGGATGGGAGAATATTCGGGAACATACTACCAGGACCCATGTTAAAGGTGACGGATTGTGTTCTAGGGCAGCACCAATAGGGCTGGGATGTGTCAGACGGCTGCAAGGGAACCTATCAGAAGCAGACTCAAAAGGAAGCAGAGGGACAGGAGCTACAGGTACTTTCTATATTTCTGTTTCGGTCAACTGAACAGTGATGCCACTAACGAAGAAAAGAAAAATAGAATAACAGGCTCAAGAGGGAAGATTATGAGAATTCAAGCCCATTGTAAAATGCATATGAAATGTCTGGTTGAGATGACAGCTTCAGCACCGAGGAGAGGTAGCATTTGAGAAGCTAGAATTTGAGGTGGGTATTTGCCAGGGCTGACCAGCAGCCCCTGAGGGATGGATGAATGGATTACTCTGACACAACATTTGCTGTGAAAGAGAGACTAAGGGACGGCCTGGCCAAAGGACCAGGCAGCCTCGATTGCCTGCCTCCTTAGCCTTTTATTGCAGTTTCTATCTTTAGGTACAATCAGTAGGGTGAGTAACCTTGGGAGGACTCCTGTGTTTACATTGTCCTCTAGGCAAGGGCATCAGGGATTAAGCACAAGGATCCCAGTAAACATCTGGGGGTCTGCTCGTGCACAGACTTGTTTGGAAAGGTCAAGGAATAATGAGAGTCGCCGCCTTATGCTCCCAAAGTTTCCCCTAAGTCGAATTCCAATAAACAGGGCAGGCGGCCTTCCACACACTTCCCTTTTATGTCCTCTTTACAAACTTTCCAACCAAGTCTCATGCTTCCCAACAGGTATTCTTACATAGGAACTGGTAATAGGCTCTGATTTAAGGACAGGTGTTGATGCAGGTGAGAATACTGGACAGATGCAGCTCACCCTCCCTCTCCTATAACTTGAATCTTGATTCCTTCCTAAAAGCCAGTCTGGGTGCAGTGTGGGGGGAGGAGGGGCTCTAGCTATGGAAGTTCTCTAGGTGTTTCACCCTTGAGGCTTTCATCACTGGTTCTGCTTCCAAAGCAGGTTGTCCTACAGACCTCAGGACTTGGAGGCTGGGCCTTGAGAGATGTCTATGTAGGAAGGCTAGTGCATGCACATGGTCCTGGGTTAACGTTGTTATAAGAAATGATCCCTAGCTGTTTAATCCACTCATCGTCAGAGGGAAGGCAGGGGAGGGTGGGTGTGTGGGAAGAGATCAACCATTGAACTTGTATGCATATATGCATAACCCATGGACACAGACAGTAGGGTGGTGAAGGCCTGGGGTAGGGGGCAGGGGCTGGGTTGGAAGAGGTTAATGGGAGGCAAGGGGGGACATATGTAATACTTTCAGCAATAAAGATTTTTTTAAAAAAGAAAGACTCCCCAAATTCCAAGGCAGTATCCCTCTCTAGAAATGGGTGACAGATAAAGGGAGCTGGCTCTGAGATTCAATTTCTATATTTCTTTGCTGTGTTTATATATTTCCTCAGTATTTTGACATTTCAGGACAAGATCGTGACATGTGCAGAGATGAAACCCAACTTAAAAAGGGTGATTAAGTTTGACCATTAAGAAACTGTCACACCTAATTATAGTCAACAGTTTTTCTCCCGCTGAGTCATAACTGACAGTGACTTGCTGATTTCCCACAGCTGTGGTTTGCCCTGGGTGACTTACTCATGCACCTGGAAGCTCCGAGCTACAGTAAAAAGGTTGTTTGGAGCCTTGCAATCAATCATGAAAATTTTACTGCCTAGAAATATGTTATGGTATTTTTATTTTACCACATATAAAAAATTTACTATATATAATCCTATATAATAAAAGCCTAATATGCTAAGTGTCCAACTGTTTTTGCAACTATTCAACCAGTCGCTATGACGCACACTGACCACCAGGGGGCAGACGCACTGACCAGTAGGTTAGCTTGCTGCTGGGGTCCAGCTGATCGGGACTGGGCAAGATGGGCTGAACAAGCCCTGGAGTCCTCCCGCGGTCCCTCCCCAGACCGGATCATGCACCATTGGGGTCCCTCAGCCTGGCCTGTGCCCTCTCACAGTCTGGGACCCCTCGGGGGATGTCGGAAAGCCGCAGACCAGGCCCAGGGACCCCACCTGTGCATGAATCCATGCACCGGACCTCTAATATATTAATATATTACATAAAACTAAAAGAGAATCCTATGGTAACTAGCTTTTAAATATTATTACTAAATTTTTTTAAAAAAAAATACATGCCCTTTTAACATATGGTGTTTTAAAAAATGCTAATAGTAATTGAAATTAACATATTTCAATATATTTAACAAATTCTTCTATAAGAATTTATATATGAGGGATATAAAATTTCATATATAGGCATGGACATAAAGATGGCATATTTTTATCAGAACCATAAAAAATAATTAAAAAACAAAATACTGACTTCAGTGTCATCTTAAATATAGAAATACAAAAAAAAGGACTGTTTAAGTAAGTAGACAGTTGTTAAGTCTGAAATTAGGGGCATCATGTATTGGTATTAGGGGATCATGTATTGGTATATTTATTTTTGATTGGTACATTCAGTTTGCAATAGGTTATGATTAACTTCTTTGTTTTTACAGATTATTATTATACACTTCCGGTGCTTTAATGACAATAATGCTTAAAGAAAATCTTAAAGATTTTAATTACCTGAAAATCTAAATTTTGAAAAATCATACATTTACAATCATATTGTTCCTAATGGTACCTAATAAAGTAATCTTTGTCATTTTTAATGCAGATGAATTCATCTCAATAAAAAAAACTGGAAAGGATTTAAAAATAGAAATATAGAGATTAAAATTTTTGATACAACAAAATGATGTTGCTACAAAGGAAATAAAAAAACACAATAAGAACATAGGTGACAATGTAATTATTATTTATTAAATAACAGTCACAATCAGATGGCCTAAGTTAAATGATTGTTTTGGGATCAGAATTATATGATCCTAATTATAGATCTACAGTTACTAAACTCAATCACTAATTTTGTCAGACATGAGTAGGATCTAAGGTATATTGAATATTTTAATGTAATGACATAATTAGTTCAATTAATGAAATAAACAGTTTATAATTACCCAATGTTTAAATTTTTAAATTAAACAGTGGATGAAAACAAATGCATAGGGCCAGGCTGTGACTGATTGCAAAATATGTCCACAATTCCTCCTGTCCCGGTCACCACATCCTTTGCCATGTCACTTTGCTGCTTCTCCTACCAGAATGTAGTCAATTTCTCCGCCCCATGAGCCTGGGCTGGCCTTGAGACTTGCTTTGACAAATAATGTGGATAATGTGGCTAAAGGGATTGCTTATACATCACTTCTGAGGCCAGGCCTTTGTAAGTCTGGAGCCCTATTTTGGCTCCACTGAAGCTCTGCCCTGAGACCACCACACAAGGAAAAAAGTCACTTGGAGGATAACTGACCCCTCCCCCCAGGTGACAGCCAA